GGCAGGTGAGGAGGAGCTGCAGGTGATTCAGCCTCAGGAGCCAGTGTCCATCGCAGCCGGAGAGACAGCCACTCTGAGATGCACCGCGACCTCCATGTCCCCCGTGGGGCCTTTCCAGTGGTTCAGNTGCCCACAGTCACATGGCCAGTGAGTGAGGGGATGGTTCCAGAACCCAGTGTGATTCCAGGCGGGTTCCTTCCTGCCCTGTCGCAGTACCTTCCTTCCATGGAAGACCTGGCACATAGTAAGTGCTGAATAAAAGCTAATTACACCAAACCATTGAACAAGGAACAAGAATACTCCTTCCATCATTTTCTTAAAGGCTCCTGTGCCCCTTGCATTCAGACGCGGGGACCCAAGGTCACTGGGAATTCTTCCACCTTCANCTCCTGTGCCCCTCGCATTCAGACCCTGGGACCCACGGTCACTGGGAACTTCTTCCACCTTCAGCCACATCGCCCCAAATCAAGCATCCATGNTTCCTGTGCCCCTTGCATTCAGACGCGGGGACCCAAGGTCACTGGGAATTCTTCCACCTTCAGCCACATCGCCCCAAATCAAGCATCCATCTCAGCGCCTAGAGCTGCCCCTTGTGCAACAGTTGCCTCCCCCTCCAGTGTGTGGAGAGAGCATCATTCATTGACTGTCTTCTTTGATGGGTATGAGCTGTTCCCAATTTTGGGCTATTAAAACAGCGATGCAAGGGATGCCCTTGTCCATGTGTCACTCCACTCGAGATGCCCACTGGAAGCAGCATTGCTAGGTCACAGGGTATGTGCATTTTAATTTGTGTAAATATTGCCAAATTTCCCTCCTAGACATGGTAGCAATGAAATCTCCCCACAACTCACAGGCAGGGAAGGTGGCTTTATCCTGAATTTTCAGATATAACAGAAGTTCCCAGTGGTGTGTCCCTTGCCTAGGCAATCAGAGCTAATAAGTGGCTCCATCTCAGGTCTGCTGCCCCCTGGTAGAGCACTCGTCCCCATCTACCTGCTCAATGATGTCCTGGCTGAGAAAGCTGAGAGGTGGGAGGGGTCAGGAGCCCTGTTTTCATCATGGCATTTACTCTTATAACCAGCGCTATGGCAGGGGCTATCTGCTGGCCCCTTTGAGAGATGAGAACATGGGCTCAGAGAGGGGACCTGACTTATGAGCAGGTAGGGAAGCTAAGACTGAACCCCAAGCAGCCTGACTCAGCCCCTGCTTTTCGTCCCACCCCACTGTGCTTGTGGAAAAAGCTCCAAGCCGCTCTTGTAAGGACTTTGAATTGCTCTGTTCTTCAGCAATAAGCATGTCTAAGAAGGTCCTGCAGGTCAGCTTTGCAGCCCGTATCAGACAGGTACACAGCCATCTCAGGATGTGCTGGGCCTGTGCCTGTGGCACAGCTCAGCACATAGACACATTGAGGGNACATCAGACAGGTACACAGCCGTCTCAGGATGTGCTGGGCCTGTGCCTGTGGCACAGCTCAGCACATAGACGCATTGAGGGGGCTCTCCCCTTTGCTGTGCTGTTTCCCCTTCACTGAGCAGCCTGCAGGAGCAGCCTGGGCGCAGTGGCCTGGAGAGAGGAGACAGGGGCCACTGCACCCCCAGCCACACCATGTGCACTATTCCTTCTCTGCAGATTGAGGATGGGGGCGCATTTCCTACAGGACACTGGGGCCCCAAATGAGCAAAGTTCATATTCTAGACCCGGTGTCAGGAGTCCATGTCTTCCATTTATTGCGACAGGGTCCCTAGGCCTGGGCACTCAGAGGTGACTCTTCCCTATAATTCCTTAAAGTCAGGAATCTGAGGGAAAAGAGGATGGCAGTCAGTACCAGGGTTTGTGAGGTAGTACGCTTGCTCTGTTGATGGACATGAAGCTTGGGGACCACAGGAAATACCCTGGGACATAGCGCTGGGTAAGGAGATAGTCCCTTCACTTCCTCAGCCTCACTTTGCTCATCAGTAAAATAGTGATGATCATAGACTCCTTTTAAGAGAGTTGAAGGATTTGAGGTGCTCTGTCTGAATCACCCAGCACAAAGTAGCACCCCCAAATCAGGTGATATTTCATGGTGTGGTCCAATTTCTTTTGCTGAGCCTCAGTTTCCTCACCTGTAGACAGTGGATGATCTCACCAACTTCTGCAGGAAGATATGAGGATGCAGTGAGCCTGGTGGGAAAATAGATCCTCAGTGAGCAGTGGTATCATCCGCAGCTGGGTGCTCTTGGGCAGGTCTCTGTTTCCCCGGAGTCCTCAGTTTCTCCATCTGTGAAGTGGTGATAATCACAGCTCCCATTCAAGGGATCTGTGAAGGTAGGAGAGGATGTCTAGGAAGCCAGGTGGTGGTCCAGGATGTTACTGAGCGTCAGTGCTCAGCGGGTGAAAGCATGGACCAGCCCCCTGCCGCCTGGGTTCACATCCTAGCTCTGCCACTTCCCAGCTCTGACCTCTGACCCATCACTGCCCACACTGTGCCTCAGTGTCCTCATCTGTCAGTGATAGCGCTGACCTCACAGCGCAGCTGCAAGGACTGAGTGAGTGAATGCATGTGCGGTGCATAGAGCAGGTCGTGGCATGTAGTAAATGTTCAATGAGTGTGAGCTAGGATGTGCCGAACTCATAGGACCTTGGACAGGTTGCTTTCCTCTCCAGGCCTCAATATAAATGGGGTTAAAGGTGGGGTTCAATGCCTTTCAACCTTGGCTTCTCATAAGAATCACCTGGGAAACTTTGTAAAGGTCCTCAGGCCCTGTCTCCACCCTGGGAATTCTGATTTAACAGCTCAATGTGGGCCTGGCAACTGAATTTTTAACTACCCAGAGGATGCTAATGCAGAGCCAGGCAGAGAGCCCTGAGTTGGATACTCTCTGAAGCCATAGAGGAAACCTTGTCGTTTTTCCCCCCGACAGCAGTGGCTCCCCCTGCTGCTGGGGCTGAGAGAACAGCACCTTTAGGGGCACAGGTGCTTCAGAATAGCATGTGCCAGTGACAGCTCATCAGAGGCCCAAGAAAGTGAGCCCTGGAGAAGTGACAGGGACACCCTCCCACGAGCAGGCCTGGGCTGAGAGTGGCCCCTGCCCTCTCCGCCCTGAGGAGGGGCAGATCCCAGCTCCCTTGCTGGGGACTCCTTCCCATCTCTAAACACGTATGTGTCTAAACAGGCTTCGGAATCCCCACAATACTCACTGCTCAGCCCCAGAGCCCTTCCTGCCCCCAAACACCAAAACGTCACTGTTAAAATCTCCCCTCCCTTTCTGCACAATGCTTCCAGCTTCCGTAAAGAGCTAACCGGTAGGGAAATGCCTGTGATCTCATGTGTGTTTTGAAAGTCAATTCGCCAAACTTGTTTCCTGAGGGGATCATTAAAAAAAAGAGAGAACCATCATTTGGTGGTTTCTCTCCTTTTCGCGTCGCAGCTGCGGGGAGCAGGATTTGAGGCGTTTCTCGGTGTTTCCGCTCTGCTTTTCTGTTGCCTTCTTACTGCCTAACGAACAAACAGGTAGTTTCAGAACTAGTGAGACCAGGTCCTACGATAACAGCCACAGGTGTTATGTATTAAGCACCTGCCCCTGCCAGGCTCTGTTTCACTAAGTCCTCACTCCTCCTAGCAGGGTGGCATTTTGATACACTTTGTACAGACACAGACACTAAGGCTCAAGGATAAAGAGCAGAGAAGCTAAACTCAGCCAGTCCCGTGGGTGGAGAGATGAGCCCTGCCTTTGCTCCCCGTGTGCCCTTGACCAGCCGGGTTCCTCTCTCAGCCTCATCCCGTAAGTGGGACCACACGGGGCCTGCTTCAGGGGGGCAGGAATGAGCCCAGGGGCACAGAGGAGTCACCATGAGCGGGGTACCAAGAGGCTCTCGATGGGGGGTAGCTGGTCCCGGCCTCTCTAGGGACATCCGGGCTGCAGGAGTTTTTGTGACTTGATTTATGCAAGTGACACCCTCTTACTCTGTCCCCAAAATATTTGAGGTTTAGGAGGCAAGTTAAATATTTACGAATGCAAATACTCGTTAATATTTGCTATCTGCCCCACTGTTAGAGAAGGCGTTGGGGAACAGTGAACAGTTTCGAGACCCTGCAGAACCTTTCTACAGGGAGAAACTGTTCTCGCTTGTCTTTCAGTGATGTGTGGATGCTGTCAGGACACAGGAGCCCTGCCTGCCCCTAGGCCTGTGTCCGTGTCCTTCTAATTTAATACCGATTAAGAAATTAACCACCTTTGGTTTTCCCAGCACTCAGTGATCTTTGTGTTCAACCCAAAACTGACCCAAGAGAACGCAAGTTTAGAAAACATCCCATTGCCTCTCCCTTTCAAATTCAGGGATTGACAAAGATTAAATTGACCCTATTGGAATATTTGTGAAATGAACAAAAACTATCTAGAAAATTCATAAATACCTGAAGGGAGAGCTCTGGATAAATTAAGTCTGAGTTCAAGCTGAATCTGGGTTTATTTATTTTTGTGAAGCACCTTCTATTTTGCTCAAAGCAAAAATGCTTCCATTGCCTCATTTAACCCTTTTCTGAAGTTTGGGGAAGGAGAAATGCCTGTTGTCCCATTTCACAGATGGAACTGGGATGTGCCCCGCGACACCTCTCCTCATCTGGCCAACCTGGGTCCAGCTGTCATAGGGGTCCCTTTACCCCACTGCTTCCCTGCCTTTACTTCTGTAAACACTTTCTCTGAGGTTGGGAAGGCTTCCAGGAAAGACCAGCTAGGAGAGTTAATAAGAAGAGTGAAACTCATCAGTAATTTTGTTCCTGTGCCCAGGCTGGTGGGAAATCACCGGGCAAGGAAAGAAGGTGGACTTTGAACTCAGGCCTGCAATTGCTTGTCAGCCCTGCCCCCCGCTCAGAGTTCACCTCTGGGGACATGAGTGTCCCCCTCTGTAAGATGAGGACGATAACACGCCCTCCCTGCATTATTGGAAGGATAAAAAACAATAGATGGGAAGGTTTTGACAGTGTCACATGCTTGTCATTAGTGGCAATAACAACAATCATGTTCTTTGTTTATTATGTTCCTTTAAAGCCAAACCCTCTCCCCCCGAGGTATCGGGCCCCACGGGGAGGTCCACACCTGGGCAAACGGTGAACTTCACCTGCAAGTCCCACGGCTTCTCCCCCAGAAACATCATCCTGAAATGGTTCAAAGATGGGAATGAGCTCCGAGCCTCCCAGACCACCGTGGACCCAAAGGGAGACAGCCCTTCCTACAGCATCTCCAGCACAGCCACGGTGGTGCTGGCCCCGGGGGATGTTCGCTCCCAGGTCATCTGCCAGGTGGCCCACGACACCCTAAAGGGAGACACTCCTCTTCGTGGGACTGCCAACTTGTCTGAGATCATCCGAGGTAGATGCCCCTCACACCCAGCGCCAGCCCACACCTGGCCCCTGCCCTCCAGGCCTGCTCCTCCCCCTGCTCTTTGCTCCAGAGTTTGATTTTCCTGGATTCTAATTCCTGACAGTCCTTCCCCTCACCAGGCACCTGGAAGTACCTGTCACTCACACTGTTTAATGGTAGCTGCCAAGTGAACACCTACCACTGTACTTGGTAGTTTCAGCTACTTTACCAGTAGCAATTCCAATAACTGAGCACCTGCTATCAGCCAAGCTCTTATGTGCTTGGTGATTTCATTTATTTTTCTACAGTTACTATGCTCCAACTGCATACCAGGGCTGTGCTTATTGACTTCACTTATGTTATCCTAATAGCAGCTACCAGTCCTTGAACACCTACTGTGTGCAGGGCACTGTGTTTAGTGATTTCATTCATGTGAAAGAGTACCGTCGGTGTCTGAGCGCCTGTCCTCTGATACCCCTGCAGGTGGGGGAGCTAAGTTAGGGAGCGCTCCCCTGTGATCTGTCTGTTCCATGAGGTCAGAGCTTCTGCCCTGTGCTGTTTCAGTTCCGCCCACCGTGGAGGTTACCCAACAACACACAGTGTCAAAGAACCAGGTGAACGTCACCTGCCAGGTAAAGAACTTCTACCCCCAGCGCCTACAGCTGACCTGGTTGGAGAATGGAAACACGTCCCGAACAGAAACGGCCTTGACCCCCATAGCGAACAAGGATGGGACCTTCAACTGGAGGAGCTGGATCCCGGTGAACTTATCTGCCCGCAGGGAGGACGTGACGCTCACCTGTCTGGTGGAGCACGATGGGCAGCCGGCAGTCACCAAAAACCTCACCCTGAAGGCCTCTGCTCCTGAGAAGAACCAGAGCACAGAGGGATCCTCTGGTGAGGCCTCCACTCCAACTGACCCAGCTCCATTTAAATTGTATCTTTACTTTTGCTGTTATAAGTAGTGATTCATGCTTATTATAGAATAATCTAGAAGTTTATAGATAGAAAGTAGAATTTTAAAGTGAGATCCCCTCCCCCAAACCCCACACACACTCCGTAGTCAGCACTGGTAAGACTTTGGTACTTACTCTTACAGATATTTGACACGAATATACATTAAAGAAAGAAAGAGAGAGGAAAGGGGGCCATCCAGCTCACGGTGTCCTGCTGCTTGCTTTCTTCCCCTAACAGTCACTGCGTTCACTGTCCCTGCCAGCCCCTCCCTCCTTCTGGCTCTTTCTAACCTCTGCATGTCCAGGCCGCCATGCAGGCTGCCCCCCAGGAAACGGGGCGGGGCTCCCGGGTGTTTGTGGCTTGTGTCTAATATAATCACTGCTGCAGTAAATGTCCTTGTACCTATTCTGTTACATGTGCAGCTGCTTCTGTGGGACGATTTCCCAAAGAGCATTTCTGGGCCAAAGTGCAAGCTCACTGAAGATGGCGGTGATGCTGCCACTCTCCTGGGAGGGTCAAAGGTGTCAGGGTGTTATTTTCTCAGCACCCTTCCAACGTGTGGTCATGTATCGCTCTTCTTCAGAATGGCAGCACCTAGTTGGCGTTCGGTGCCACTGAGGAATGTTCCATCACTGTCGTTAGCGTGGCTGTGCCTTGTACACGGCAGACCCTTTGAATGGATTAGAACAAAGGCCATTTCTTTACTTTGTGCATCCTTCAAGATTCAGGGGGCTCCAAAGAGGTCCTGGTGCCCTGTCAAGGGATCCCTTTGATGCCACCGATGCCTGGTTTTCATAGGATGAGACCTGCACTTGGAGACAGGATGTGCAGGTCAATCTCTGGCTCTGTCATAGACTTGATGGGTGACCTTGGACGAGTCAGTGCCTCTTTCTGGGCCTCTCTGCTTACTCATGGCAGTGATGAAGGAGAGGAGCTTTGTGACCCTAGCTTGGAGTCTCAGCTGCTAGGAACCCCAGCATCACAGCTTCAGGCCCTGGCATACAGCCCAGCACATAGTAGGCATTCAAGAAATACTTTTAGCAAGGATGAAAGAATGAATTAGTTGGTTGTTTGGTTATCTACTGAATTAATCCTCAGAGCTACCCAATGTGGTAGAGATAATTCTTGGCCTCAGTAACGCAGGAGGAAACCAGTGTGTGGAGGTTTAAATGACTGGCTCAAGGTCGCACAACTAGGGGCATTGATTTGAACCCAGGTTTCTGCAGCTCAGCTGTGCTCCCAACTGCCCACTGCGCTCTACTGTAGGTTCCCTCCATGTGCCCTAGGGCCAGCCAAGTCCTTAACTTCATTTCCAGTGTCCTGGGTTCAGAGCCCCTGTGCCGGGGTCGTAGGCACTAATCAGCGGACAGTCTCTGAGAGGTTCACTGAGTCCACTAGTCACCTGCATGTCGACCATTCCTCACTCTCCCCATTGTGATTCAGAGTTTGCATGGACCTGTGCTACCACAGTGGCCACTGGTTGTAGCCCAGTTTCCACCATGGCTATCAGCACCAAACAGTTTCCCTCCTGGCACCTCAGCATGGTTTTTGTGCTACCCATGGTTGACCCACGTGGGGACATGTGTGTGGAACCATGAACGTGCCCATGTGGCTGGAAACGTCCAAGGAGATGCAGCCAGATGTTCTTAGTTAATGATGCCCGTCTAGTGGAGAAAGGAGGCGGTGGGTGGCAATTTTCTTTGCATTTGTGTTCCTGAAGCCTCTATTCTGTCTTGTCTCTAGGTGATACTAAGAACTTCAATATCTTTATTGTGGTGGGCGTGGTGTGTGCCTTGCTGGTGACCCTGCTGATGGCGGCCCTCTATCTCCTTCGAATCCGGCAGAAGAAAGGTGTGTGGATTCCCTGCTTTCTCCCCAAAAGTTTGCCCCTAGGCTTTCCTTTACAAAGGGAGAGGACACAAGACTGCTTTGGGCTCTGCATAGTTTAAGCCATTAGGATGTCCAGTTACTTCCTGTAATAAGATCAAAGTCCAGAGGTAGCACTGCCATAGCTGGCGTGACACCTCCACCAGGCTGGCATCTGGGTGGGGCCCTCCCATGGCCTTCCTCTCATGGCTGCAGGATGGCCCTCTCTGCACATCACTTCCATCCCAATGAGATGCCCCCCTCTCCCTCATTGGTCCCTGGAAGGGTCCACCCATCCTCAACCTCAATACAGTGAAATATCTTCATTTCAGTTCTACCAGTTACCATCTTTGTGACTGTAAAGAGTCACCCGATCTCTTTGGTGTAAAATGGGGTGATCAGTCATTGGACTTCCTGAGACATCTCATGTCCCAGCACTTTGCAACCCATCAGCCTCCATTAAGATGTTAGATGCTGAGCTGCAACCTTCCCACTGGTACCCACTCACCTAAAAACCCAATACCTGCCCAGGCACCGAGAATTAACCTAGCAGTGAGAATTTTTGCATTGTGACAGCCTCCAGCCTGTTAACACGAGGTGCAGAGCGCATTTGAGTGTGCATGTTGCTTTTTAATTACAATTTTGTGGTGAAATTCAAGTCAAATGGTGGCTGAACCCTAGCAGCTTCTCTGTGGGATGCCCCATAGCACAGGTTTAAAAATCTCTGAACCAGATGGACTCTTTCTTTCTTCTTTTTGGGAAAGTGGTGACATTAAAATAAATGAATGTCCAGCCCAGTCCTGTGAGTCAGCTGAAATCCAAGCTCAGAGGGGGAAATGACCCATCTAGGGTCACACAGCGAGTGAGTTGGTGGCAGAAGTGGGATTCACACCTGCTCCCTAGCTCACAGCCCTGCTAGAATCTGTTCTCCAGCAGTGAAAGGCCATGACTGGGATCCAGACTTAATGAAGGGTCTCAGGTGAGAAGGTGGTGAGGCCCAGACCAGGGATAGGACAGGTGGCCCCTCCCAGGCTGAAGTCTGCTTGGGGATCTGACCTTTGGCAATTCCCAGAGGTGAGAAAGGCCCAGCTCCTGGTCTTCCTCAGTGGGAGATAATGGACTACCCCAGTGGGGTGAGCATGGGTTTCCTATGGTTGGGAGGATATGATTTCAACAATTTCTCCCAATGTTACTGGAGGCAAAACTTTGCCCACTACCTGCCCCCCTAAAGTTACATGAGAAAAGTATGTTTGTAGGTTAAATAACTGGCTTTTATTTCTTTTCTCTTTCAGCCAAGGGCTCCACTTCTTCTACAAGGTATGTGCATTGCTGGCCTCGAATGCTTTTGCAATTGTTATTTAGTTGTTTGACAGCCTCCAAACTGAAAAGCATAATCCACACCCACTGGCCCTCACACTTGCACTGGTCAACCTTTCTATGCCTTTCCTTTGTAAGTTCCTCATGCCAGGCCCAGTTTTAATTATTGTCTCAAATGAGGGGATTTGAGGGGATTTCTGCACACAGAGGCACTGAGTTCTTGCCTGCTGTGCACAGACAGAGAGACTCTTTGGACTGTGGCAGAAGCCTCCTGTACATGCCCCCCCAGATCCAAGTTGTATACTTTGCTCTTTCCTTCGTTCATTAAATATTTATTGAGTACCTTGGCATGGGTGGCCTTGGAAAGCATCTGTGCCGCCCTGANAGAGACTCTTATGAAATCCTGTTTGGACTGTGGCAGAAGCCTCCTGTACATGCCCCCCCAGATCCAAGTTGTANCGAGACTCTTTGGACTGTGGCAGAAGCCTCCTGTACATGCCCCCCCAGATCCAAGTTGTATACTTTGCTCTTTCCTTCGTTCATTAAATATTTATTGAGTACCTTGGCATGGGTGTCCTTGGAAAGCATCTGTGCCGCCCTGAAGCCTGTGTTCTGGTCAGAGGCGAAGGTGATGACATTACGTCACAGATGGTGCCTTAGTTTGTTGATTCATATTTTCAGTGACTCTTACTGAGTCCCTACTATGTGCCAGCTCACTTCTGGGTACTGGAGATACAGCAGTGAACAAAAATCAGTCTGGACCTGCCCTGGCCAGTGTGGCTCAGTAGTTAGAGTGTCAGCCCACATACTGAAGGGTCATGGGTTCCATTCCTGGTCAAGGGCACATACCTGGGTTGCAGGTTCGATCCCCAGCCCCGGTCAGGCACGTGCAGGAGGCGGCCAATCGACCATGTCCCTCTCTCTCCCTCTCTGTCCCTCTCTGTCCCTCTCTGTCCCTCTCTCTCCCTCCCCCTCCCTCCC